TATGATGAAAAAACTACTACTTGGACTCTTGACCATTTTGGACCACCAACATTTAAAATTTAAAGAATCTTGGATGACCATAAGAACAAACTCTTCAAAGTTGATAATTTTCGACGTCTTTTTTGATATTCCAGGGGTTACCTCCACGGAAAACCATAAGATTGACTTGGACGGACAAACCTACAAACGGAAAAATTAAACCCCTTAGTTCACCTTAGGGGCATTTGACCCAAGGTACACAAATTTTTTAAAAACTAAAAATCCTGAACCTTCAAATCGCATATTGCTCCCATAGTCATGGTTAAGAAGGAGGTAATCATATAGCTTGCTTTGATTCGAGGCCTTTAAAGTATAATCGGTGGGGTGCTGAGCCTATGCCCTTAATAGATAGCGATCTACACAAATTTTAGACGCTTCCTTCTTCCAAGATTGATATTGCGCAGGCATCCACAAGTAATGTTTGTCCTTCTTCTAAACAGTACAAAACCCCTTTTCCTAAAACCAAAGGGCGATGCAGATAAACTTGCCCTTCGGTTTGTAACTGCCTGTCTACCTCGTGAACTGATAGAAAGGCTTGGGTAATTGCCAAATTTTTTGTTTATTTTGAAACATTTACGTAAGACACTCGTGGGGGGAAAAAATATCCAACATTAACATCATTTTTTTCGTAGGTTACGCTCCATGGCCTCACTGCCAAAGGCCCCAAAAAAGTTCCTTGTTATAAAAGATTAATTCTTTACTGTACTTTCTAATAACTCTCCCGCGCCTCTCCCCTAAAATCAAAAACTTTATTTAAATTTAAATTCCCCAAAAAAAAAAAAAACTCATGCGAAGTTTCTTGGTTCGTAAATTTTTATGCACGGTTTATCCCAACCTTACTGATCTTCAGGCATTTTCAGATTCCTTAAAAATCGTGAAGGAACCCTTGAACTTTCCGCGTAGCTCGGAAAATTTAATGAATTTTAAAATATCTTTTCGAAAGACCCTATCCCAAGATTCCAGAATTAATAAAACATTTTGTTTTAGAACTGATGCCTCCAAAACGGGGTTAGGTGCGGGGTTACTACAATACCATGATGGTACTCCCTTCCCTGTATGCTTCCTAAGCCGGGAAAATCCTTCCCCCAGAAACGAGTACCCACCATAAAAAGGAATGTTTGGCCCCCTTTTGTGGGGTATCCCAAAATTAAATTTTATTTGCTGGGGAAAAGGAATTTATTTTTTTGAAAAGGACCACAAACCTTTTATATACCCAGAAAAATTTTAAGGGAACCAACAGTCGCCTCTTGAGGGGAATTGGGACTCCGGCTTTTAAGTTCCAATTGTGTATATCAATAGTTCATCCCAAATTTTTTCTCGGTGGGTTTAAATCGTGACAGTCAGTAGAAGATTTGTTGCCTTTCCGACTTCCACAGTTAGAACTTTTTCCTCGCCATTCTTCTTTTAAATCCTTGCTTAAGCTTGGGATGGGGGGGGTGAGGGAAAAATTTAAAAGATAGGATAGAGAAAAATTTGTAACGTAGTTTCATTACCGGGTACTAGTTAAGGTAGGGAAGTCAAGCTCCCGCCTTTCTTCCCCCTCCCCGAAAGTGATAGTTTCCCTTTCCGGGTGCTTGTTAATGTAGGGTCATCTAGCTCCCACTATCCCTTCCCCTCCCCTTCCCCCCCCCCCCGAAAGGTGACGTGTGGGCTTGGTCAAAAAAGTAAATCACTCGATCACACCCCCCAACACTACTGTAATACATGCCGCCTTTTATTCAAGGGATTTATTTGGTTTTTAAAGCTTCACTTTTGACCAATAATAAACTTTTCCTTTCAGTCTTGCTCTAGGTTGACTGTTTTAATAATCACCAAAGTCTTTTTAGTAATGTACACTGCCATGGGGTGTTTTTTAAGCAGTGGGAACCTTTATCTTTTCAGCTTGGATGCAGAGAGGGACCTGCAATCAACGAAAGAAAATGGGAAGGACTAACGTCCAGAGACTTCCCCTTTTGTATTTAACTACCCGTGCACCTGATGAAATTGCAGACGTAACCCCCCCATCATTTTCACGGTAAAAAAATGCTTTCCAGGCATCGGGGTAATAATCACGGCGATTCTCTGTGAAGAACTAGCCATGGGGGGTCACCAACACCCCGACCCCCCCCCCCCTCTCAGCAACGGCTACGATTTCAACAAGCATGTCCCAACACCAGACAACCAAGTGTTAAATTAGCGTTGAATTCAGTTATCATTTATATTTTTCCTTTTTCATTTTCTTTAATGTAGGATTAATATTTCATATTTAATTGTTTTATATTTTATATTTTCTACATAATAAAGTGTTTATGTTTGTCTTGTTATTATTTCTTTTTCTATTTTAAAAATTTTCCCCGAGGAGGAGCCAGCCTGAGTAATACTGTCTGAAGTTGTTACAGGGCTGAGTAAGCCTTCACTACAATTATTAGCGGCATCCTTCTTTAATAGATAATGCATCATGTGAAATAGATTGAACGTTTCGTGGGTTAATGCTGCAGTCTAACAAATTTTGTTGGATTTTGTGCAGTAAGTCGGAATTTCTCTTCTGCTCAGCTTTCAACGTTTAGTGGTTAAATGTTTTTTTCGCAAGCATCATGACAACATTTTAGATAAGATCTATCAGGGGCCTTTTCCTTATCAAAAAACAGCACCCGGGTATGAGTAAATTAAGTGTAATGAATAAACAGGGGGGTGGACCAGAGGCTGGGAAAAGTGTCCCATGTGTATATGTTTTGATAAAATTAAGACACTTGTGCAACATCTGGGAATCTTTATTGTAGACGTTTCGCCATCCAGTGGCTTTATCAATATAAATTCTAGAACATAGCTTGAAGACAGTAGGACTATATACCTCAGATGTTGCACAAGCGTCTTAATTTCATCTTGTCGGTATTATATACCATTCTTGTATATGTTGTACTTTGTTTCACTCTACAACTTTGATTTAATTTACAGGAGATTGTACAATGTTGTGGGTGAGGAGCGAGTGGCTGGCTTGGGATACAGGAATAATCACCTACTTGATCATCAGTCTTGGTTACCCTCACAATGGTGTGGTAATTCAAGTGACAACACAAGGTGAGTACAGGAGGTTGTAGGTGTTGTGACAAAGCTTAATAAAGTGCCGAACTGGTGAGTGACAGGAGTCACTCACTCTCTTTGATGTTTCAGATAACCTGAAGATCTTCATCTTCTGAGAATTCAGTGAAGCAAATATTTTGTGTATCAGTTAATAATTAAGCGCCTAAAAAGAAAACGAATCATTCTTTATAATTATTCAGATTCATTGCTCTTTATAAACAGTGAATATATTACTGTTGTGACAGATTCGTCAGTCTTCATCACATGAAATTTATCTATATCTTGATCAGCAAATTTATTATATACTTAATTTAGGTTACGTTAGGTTTGATTTGGTTAGACTTCCATCAGTTAAGAACGGTAAAGTCCCTTAGTGAAAACCACTTTCAATCCTACCTGGCGGCTGCCAAATACTTCTTCCCAGTCAGATAGGTAGCCACTGAAAATATGATAGCATTATGTGTGCTATAAAGAAGTAATTAAAATAGGTACATTGGTGCATATCACTGTTTTCCTACCTGCAGAACACTGTTATTCTATTTGAGCTATAACATGGGTATCATTGGAAAGTGGCACCTCCATGACAAAATGAAAACAAGAGGAACTGACATATATTTCTTCCACACTCATACCTAGTAAACACTTCGTGAGAAAAAGTAATTACAATTAAAGTTACCTTGTGTATACACCAGAAAAAAACAGACTGTCAACCCAAGGAACGGATATTAAGAATAAGACACTGGTGAACAATAACAAGGTGTTCCTTCAAAGCAGAAAAAAAAATCTCTTCACAGAGGTTGGAAGAAAAAATGCTCAACCAGTTGTGTTTACCACAATAAAAATTTCATAATCTGTCTTCTTCAGGTGAATTCTGTGTTGCAGTTTTTTTTATTGCAAAACTTCCTCTTCAGCAATAAAACGAATGGAGATCTAGTACTTGTTTTTTCAATGCCGGTGTCACTGTACTTAGAAAGGTTATAATGAATAACTATCAATAAATTACATTAAAGACGGAGAGAATCAAAGTTGTGACATTGAGTCAGCGAATCAAGTACTTAGCTGCAATGGAAAGGATAAAAAGCTGAGAACTATGAAACTTCACTGAGAGTTAATTATTAAAAATGGAAGGTTTGTCTCTACTGGTATTCAGACTTTCAGTTGGCCAGTTCCAGTTTTAGATGAATTGGTCAACACGTAAACAATTTAAAAATAGGTTCTCGGATCAGTAAGCCTAAATCAATTTGTGAGAGTTTATGGAATCGACATTTAAAGATGCAGTTCGAAGCCCTCATCATGGACTCTCATCATTGCTTTACAATGAGGTATTCTTGTCTTACGAATTTCTTAATTTATTTTCACTGTGAGGAAGTAGATCATGATAAAGAATGCGTTAGAGTATATGGATCTGAGAATCCTAAAACAGGTTCCACACAGGTAACTAACAAAGAAAACAATCGCAAACGGAATAGGGAAAAAATTGTCTCCGGGGTCGAGGCATAGCTGACCAATAGAAATTTTTCATTAATATGGAGATTTTGGAATGGGGATTCGTTACTAGTGAAATGCCACAGGGTTGAGTATTAGATCTCTTTGTGCTTAACATCTTCAAAAAATGACATAGCTGAAGTAATAAGTAACAAGAACTCTGAGAAGCATTAAAAATAAGTTGGTTAATTTCATTAGTAGATGTTGATGGTTGTAAGATGGACTTGCTTATTATAAGGCAGTAGACATACTCTCATGTTCCACTATTTTAAGTATCATCAACTCTTATGTCTTCGGTGCAGCATTTGACCTCAAAATGTCATTATTAGTTAAAAAAATATGAAAAAACGTAATTATAAATCTGATAACCATATTAAAATAAAATTATGTGGATAAAAACAAAGAACTTTACTAACCGTTCATTATAACTTGTCCTACTAGAACTTCCCAATAGCTCAAGAATGAGGAAACACAGTGCAGCTATGACAACAGAGGTTTAACATCTTCAAGCAGAGAGTAATTGTATACTGTGTTTAGGCTTCAATATAAACCTAGCCATCACCTGATAAAGTTGTTTTAATTAGATGATTTTAAATATAAATATAAAAAAAATGGGAAATACACAGCTGCTCTTTTAACAGTTACATTTGGTGTTGAAAATGTATTAACATTAGCAGCTGTTTACTTATAAAATATTACTTAAAACCTTTAAGAAGCTTTTTTTTATTTAATGTAACTTATATTCTGCAAAAGAATCTAAAGTTGTGTAAATATATATGAAGAGCACATCAAATTTCGAATATAAAAAATAATAAGTACTGATGCTGTCAACATACACCAAGTGTGTTATCGACAAGTGCTTTTATAAAATAGTAACAGACAGATACATATGTTTAAACACACACTCAGCAGGAGGCCAGGATAAGATTATGAAAACAACAGAACAATGGTGGACACACTAGCCGAGGTGACCACTAGGGCTCACATGAGTATGGAAAAGTTGCTAGTTATGTGTGATTTCAATCACAAGGCGATCGAGTGGGAAAATCTGGAGCCTCACGGGGGACTAGAAACTTGGAGAGCCAAGATGATGGAGGTGGTACTGGAAAACCTCATGCATCAACATGTTAAGGATGCAACTAGAGAGGGAAGGGGACGAACCAGCAAGACTGGACCTCGTACTCACCTTGAGTAGTTCAGACATGGAGGACACCACATACGAAAGGCCCCTCAGAGCTAGTGATCACATGGTTCTGAGCTTCGAATACATAGTTGAGTTACAAGTAAAGAGGAAATCAGGAGTAGGATGAGAGGCCAAACTACAAAAGAGGGGACTACACAGGCATGAGGAATTTCCTGCAAGAGGTTCAGTGGGAAAGAGAATTGGTGGAAAATCAGTAAACATAGCAATGGACTACATGACAACAAAATGCAAGGAGGCTGAGATATTTGTTCCCAAATACAACAGAAATAATGGGAAGAACAGAACGATCCCTTGGTTCACCCAAAGGTGTAGAAAGACAAAAACTAAGTGCACTAGAGAATGGAAAAAGTATAGAAGACAAAGGACCCAGAAAAATAAATTAGTCAAGGAGCGGGAAACGAATATGCACAGATAGGAAGGGAGGCCCCAGGGCAATACGAAAACGACAAAGCATCGAAAACCAAGTCTGACCCGAAGTTGTTGTATAGCCACATTAAGAGGAAAACAACAGATAAGGACCAGGTAATCAGGCTGAGGAAGGAAGGAGGGGAGCTCACAAGAAACGACTGAGACGTATGTGAGGAGCTCAGCATGAAATTTAAAGAAGGATTAACAGTTGAGATAGGATGGACTCCCGAAAGCCAGAAAGGGATACACAAACAAGTGTTGTACGAAATACCCACAGCCGAGGAGGAGGAGGAGGTGACACTGCTAAGTGAACTAGATACCTCAAAGGAGGTGGGACCAGACAACATGTCTCCGTGGGTGCTTAGAGAGGGAGCAGAGACACTGTTTGCCAATAACAAAAATTTTCAACTCATCCATTGAAACTGGGGAACTACCTGAGGAGTGGAAGAGGGCAAAGGTAGTCCCAATTTTTAAGAAAGATGATAGACAAAGGGCATTAAAGTACAGATCAGTGTCACTGACATGTATAGTATGCCAAGTCATGGAGAAGATTATCAGGAGGAGAGTGGTGGAGCACCTAGAAAGGAACAAACTTACACACGACAACCAGCACGATTTCAGGGAAGGGAAATCCTGTGTCACACTGGAGTTTTATGACAGGGTAACAGAAGACAAGAGAGAGAGGGGGTGGGTAGAATGCATTTTATTGGACTGTAAAAAGACCATCGGCACAGTTCCACATAAGAGATTAGTGCAAAAGCTAGAGGATCAGGAACGCATAACAGGAAAGGCACTGCAATGGATCAGAGAATAACTGACAGAGAGGCAACAACGAGTCATTGTAAGAGACGAGGTGCCAGAGTGGGCGCCTGTGACGAGCGGGGTTCCACAGGGCTCAGTCCTAGGACCAGTGCTGTTTTTTTTATATGTGAATGACGTGACGGAAGGGATAGAATTAGAAGTGTCCCTGTTCGCAGATGATGTGAAATGATGAGAAGAATTAAATCGGATGAGGATCAGACAGTGCCTCTGTAAGGAATCGTTCAAGACTGTTCACCGTGTACGTAAGGTCCATATTGGAGTATGTAACACTACTCTGGAACCCACACCAGGTCAAGTACGTCAGGAAATTATGGAAAGTGCAAAGGTTTGCCACAACACTAGTCCCGGAGCTAAGGGGAATATCCTACGAAGAAAGGGTATGGGAAATCGGCCTGACAATACTGGAGAACATGAGGGTTATGGGAGACATGAAAACATCATATAAAAAACTGCGAGGAATTGACAAGGTGGACTGAGACATGATGTTCCAGAGATGGGACACAGCAACTAGGGGTCACGATTGAAAGCTAAAGACTCAGAAGAATCAACGGGATGTTAGGAAGTATTTCTTCAGTCATAGAGTTGTCAGGAAGTGGAATAGTTTGGAAAGTGACGTAGTGGAGGCAGGATAAAGCTCATGGAGCAGGGAAAGAGAGGACCTAGTAGCGATCAGTGAAGAGGCGGGGCCAGGAGCTATGAATCGACCCCTGCAAGCACAAACAGGTGAGTACAGACACAGTGAGTACACACACAGGTACACGCAATCATGCACACGCGCGCGCACACACAGGTACACGCAATCATGCACACGCGCGCGCACACACAGGTACACGCAATCATGCACACGCGCGCGCACACAGGTACACGCAATCATGCACACGCGCGCGCACACACTGGTACACGCAAACATGCCCCCGCGGGCCGCAAAACACAAATTAAAGTAAACACCACTTTTCACATACTTCCACACCCACAAAGGAAAACGACCACACACACACACACC